TCATCTAGTCCAGTGCTCTCCACTCAAGTCAGGACTACATAATAACTAGATAATTCCTGACAGGTGTTTGTCTAACCTGTTCTTAAAAGCCTCCAGTGATAGAGATTCCACAACCTCTCTCGGCAATTTATTCCAGTGCTTACACATCTCAGGTCTAAGCATCAGCTACTTCTTTATACTCTTGTGTAACAGAAACTCCTACAACTGGAAAACTCATGTAAGGAAGACACCTAAGAATAAGGTTTTCTGGAATCGGGCCTTTTAATATTTTTCTCCTCTGATCACCACGTTTGAATTTTATGCATTACTTCTTTTTCTTATCACCTCTGTCTGGTTGTACATTGCTCCTCTCTTTCATCCTTGGTTTGTTTCCAAATCTTTCATTTTGTTTCCAGCTCTACTCTTTTTTGCAGGAACAGTGTCTCTGGGAATCCCTCTCCTCCCACTTCCCTCCTTTCACTCACTTGTTCTCGTTTTAAAGGCCCACATGGAGCATTTATGGAGGGCTGCACATGGCTTCCTAAATCAATCAGTGCTGCTCTTTCACTCAGCCATTGATTTTCATTGGAGATTGGTACCAGTTGCTAATCCCCAGGGATTGAATACCTGAATTATAGTGCTCCCACATCTAGGGATGGTTGTGGTGTAGTTGACAGGGCCTGGAGCTGGGAGTTAAGAAACTTAAATTCTAATCTTAATCCTGCAACTGACTTGGTGTGTGTCTTAGAGCAAGTCACAGTACTTCAGTATCCCCTCTGTAAAATAGGCAAGCCTGTCCCTATGGGGGGTGCGGGGCCCAGGGACATAGGCGCCGAGTTTCTATCTGCCAGAGGGTGCTCCCCTTGGCTCTGCCCAGGCCCGGCCCCCACTACCCCCCTTCCCCCAAGGCCCCACCTGCACACCACCTCTTCCTTGCGCAGTTCCGCCCCTCCCCCAAGCGCACTGTGCCCTTGCTCCTCTCCCCTCCCACTCCAGTTCCTCCAGCTGCTGCAAAACTGCTGAACAACAGTAAGCGCTGGGAGGGATGGGGAGGTGCTGGGGGGGAAGTTGGTATGGGGACTGCTCCTCACCCCCATCACTTTATCCCCCCACCCGCCTCCTCATGAAGCGTGGGGCCTCCCAAAGCGCAGGGCCCCAGGGTGGTTGCCCCGATTGGCCGTTCCCTAGGGACAGCTCTGAAAATAGGGATAAAGAAGCTTACTAACCCTTGCAAAAAGCTTTGAGTTCTGTTTGAAAAGTGCTATATAATTACTAATTAGTATTACTAGCCCAAAGGGCAGGGCACCCAAATCAATCCAAATTATGTCCTGCCACTACTGCGGCGCTCCCTTCCTTCTCTCTCCTCCTCCCCCTCTGTTTGTGCACATCTTTCCTCTTCCTGTTTTGTGGATATTTCCTGGTCTTGTGTCTTCCCTCATTTCCTGTTCTCCCCCATTCCACAATGATCCCTGTATTGCTGCTCCTATACATACTGGGCCAGATTCTCCACTAACTTGTCCTTTGTGTACTCACTTACCGAGGGTGCAAAATGTTACAGCTCTGATCTGATATCATTTTACATCCACTGTACAAGTAACTACAAACTGCAGGGCAGTGGAGAACTGAGCCCCATGTTTCCCCAGCAATGACCATAAGAACAGCAGAGCGATAGGATCACAATCATTTTCACCTTCTTAGTGGACTCCTTCCAAATTACTCTGTAAAAGCAGCAGAGGTATGATCCTCTACAACTACTAGGAAATCCTGTTCCCAGCGGAGCTTGTTGGTCCTGCAGATAGTCACTCCCCTGGGTCCCAGTAGAATTAGATAGTGAAAGTGAGTAGCACTGTGTCACTTTCATGTCGCCAATACTCCTGAGAAGTAGTATGTGCTTCAACAGAGATACTTCTCCCACAGGGGTATTTAAGAAGAAATAATGCAGGAACATGCGAACTTGCAATTCTTGTGCTGCATTTAAAACACGACCTGGTAAAAATAAGTTTTGAACTCTGCATATGGAATATATTAGGTAAGAGGCACAACAGCAATACTTGTAGCAACAAACTACACAGGACAGGTTTTTAACTCTCTTCCCAGCTTTCCCTCCTCCATCAAAGACTTAATTGACACTGTTCAGCAGGATGTTTTCTTCTCCCCTCCTCTTGTGCACAGACTTTGGCTCCGATTTCTTCCTTCTTTCCACCTCCAACCCTTCCACTCCCTTCTGTCTCTTATCCATTCCTGGGCATGCACGCTCTCTCCATCTTCTCTTTTATCTTCAAAACATCTTCCCCCCTCTGGCTTCTTTCTCAGGCTAATGGCACATTCTTGTTTACCCACTCATGAAAAAATTCTTCTCTCAATCCCAGCTGCTTTTCCAGTCTATCCGTCCCCCTCCCCATTGCATTTAAAATCCTTGTCTGTATGGCCTACAGCTATTGCCAGGGCTTTCCTTGATCCTCTCCAATCTGGCTTCTGCTCTCACTCATTCATATCATGCTAACCAAGGTCCCTAACAAATCAAAGAGACACATTTCTTTGACTTGCCTCTGAAACAACTAATCACCCCCTGCATCTTTATTTTCTCTCTTTTTAGCACTTTCACAGCTCTTCTTTTTTCCTCTTACTTCACTGACCTTCAGTATCGGTTATTCCTCTGTGTCCCCTCTTCCACTCTCTGTAGCCGTTCTTCAGGATTAGTTTCTTATTTTGTGAGATAAGGTGGGTGAGCTAGTATCTTTTATTGGACCAATTTCTGTGGTGAGAGAGATGAGCTTACACAGAACTCCTCTTCAGGTCTGGGAAACATACTCAATGTCACAGCTAAATACAAGGTGGAATACGTTATTTAGCATAAGTAGTAAACACAAAATTTCAAGGGACCATTCAAAGTGAAGTGTCCTGTTAATACCCCTCCAGTCATAGTGAGAAAAAGAAGGGGGGGGGGAGCTGCTGGGAGTGGGGTTGTTAGTGGGTTACACATTGTTGTAAAAAGCCATGAATCCAGTGTCTGTATTCAGTCCATGGTTATTAGTGTCTAGCAAAGTTGCAAATTTAAGCTCCCAGGCTCATCCTTTGAAGGTGTTGTATAGATTTCCTTTGAGAAGGAGGTCTGAGACTCACGTCAGATATAGAGCGATCGTTTCGTGAAAAGTGTTCACCCACAGGTGATAGGGTGTTTTTGTCTTATTTTTCTGGGCGAGTTCATGTGAGAGTGTAGTTGATTGTCTGGTTTCACTCTTATAGTTGTTCTGGGGCATTTAGTGCACTGGATGAGGTACACCACACGTGATAGGCATGTGCACAACTCATGGATCTCGAAAGACATGTTGTAGGAAAGGTTTCTGGCCAATGGGAGATGTAGAGCCGGCACTTGCGGCAGGGGCAGCATGCGGAGCCCCGTGCTCACCCCTACGCCTAGGGGCCAGAGGGAGATGCTGGCAGCTTCCCAAGAGCCATGTGGAGCCGGATAGGCACTCTGCCTGCCCCTCTGGGGGCAGCCAACTGGACTTTTAACGGCCGGAGCTGCCAGGGTCCCTTTTTGACTGGGCATTCCGGTTGAAAACCAGATGCCTGGCAAACCTAGCTGCAGCCCGAGCTTGAATGTCTATACTGCAATTAAAACAGCCCCTTAGCCAGAGCCCTGTGAGCCTGAGGCAGCTGGCGCAGGCCAGCCAAAGGAGTTTAATTACAGTGCAGACATACCCTATTTAAGCTCGAAAACTTGTCTCTCTTACCAATAGAAGTTGGTCCAATAAAATATATTACCTCGCCCATCTTTCTCTCTAATATCCTGGGACCAACACAGCTACAACAACGGACTATATCTTACCCTGCGTCACATAAAGCACTGGGCAAGATTATAGTCCTATGCAAATAATAAAAGTAAAGGGTTGCATGCACTTGGCTACTCTGCTTTCAAAATCTGTCTTTTCTATTTTATCCTTTTTGGTATGTGTTTAATCCCTTATTTTGGCAACCTATATATGGATTGTATATAGCAGGTGGTTTTTGGCCACAAAACTTGGGGTAGAGCTTTTCCAGCTTATTTATTTACTCTTAATGCTACCTTTGCTTTGCTAATGTAGCTAGGGCAACCAGGCAAGCTTCACCCCCAATGCTTATACCCACTGTTGGTTGGAGGGCTTATATTGGTCCTAAGCCTTGTGCTGACCCTCTGCACCTGGGTGAATTTCACATACACATATTTTCATCCATGAATAAATAAACTGAGGGATAATGCAGTTTGGCACTATGTAAATTGTACTTTTAAAATTTTTTTAAGGGTTCTACATCTTGTCACCAAACCGTCCATCTATGTAAAATGCTATGCCAAGAAAACCTAGTAGTGTCACCAATATACAAGCAATTGGGGTAAGAGGTGAATGACTGACATTCATCCAAATATGGGTTTGAGAGTCTCTCTTTTAGGCTTACCAGGCAAGGCACTAATGTCCAACAACTCCCATTGAGCTCAAAGGGAATTGTGGATGTTCAGCACCTGACAAGACTGAAGCCTTTTGACTGGAGAGATAAACATATAGGGGCAGATCCTCAGCTGGTGTCAATGGAGCTAAAACAATTTACACTAGCTGAGGATCAGCCCCAGAAAATTGAAGAGACTATTTAAGATGGATGTTTGTTTTTAAACCTGTAACCTCTGCTAAGCAAGCTCAAGGAAGGGGATATGAATGAGTAAGGAAGCAGTGTATTGGGTGCAGTGATTGACTGAATAATTGATCAAGAAATCTTTGTTGGTAGAATCATAAACAATGCATCAGATTAAAACTGCCTATAAAAGAAAAACTGAAAAGAATCCTTGAGGTGTTCCAGCTTGCCTGTGAGCCTGGAGTCTTTAAATTAACTTAAATGGGCTTTAGATCAGGCCCTGGAAGAGGAGTTAAGTAGTACAATAATTATCTCTTAAATAAATCTGTTTAATCTGAAAGTGTTTGGCCAGAGTTTTATTCTAAAAAATTCACTTTGCAAACAAACATTCAGGTGTTTGGGATTTGTTTCAGATTCAGCGTCTGTCTTGGAAATGGTACCGAAGTGGGCCCCGGCTGTTGGTTTCACACTCTTGCCCCATACAGGAGGGTTTTTGGGAGGCATGATAACAAAGAGAGAGATCCCTATATGGTATGAATCTCTTGAGAAGCCATCCTGGCGTCCACCTAACTGGATGTTTGGCCCTGTCTGGGGAACTCTGTATACAGCAATGGGGTATGTCTTTTATGTTGTGTATATACACTTAACTAGTCTGATGGTTGCTTAATGTACAGTAGCAAAGCTGGATTGTTAAAAAGAATCATATTGCATAACATTAGTTAGCTATGTTATTGCATATATATATGCTACATTAATTTATAAGAGCGACGATGTTGTTTCTGCAATGTTCAACAGGTAAGCACTTGCTTAGGAAACACTGCCCTTTATGTGTATGCACAAGGGAGGTGTATTAAATGCAGGAATTTTTGATTTGCTTCTGACCGCCCCAATAAGAGAAATAGAACTGTGAAGTAATGTGCTGACTAATTGAAAGAGTTTTTTAATCATTTCCGCCCGTATATGTGTCCTCTGACATTTCTAGCTAAAATTAACTGTATTAGTAAATAAATGAGGGATTGAGATTTGGATTGTTCCAGTAAAGAGTAAGTTAAATTTACTGGAATCTATAACCCTTGTCTTATAAAACACTAATAAAAACCTGTGCTTTTAATCTGGGTCACATTATCTGGTACAGTCTGCTGCCCTCTAACTGAATTAGTCTAAAATACTGATGACAGCTTAGGCTATTACTGTCAAATAAATGGGCAATGATGAAAAGGGATGCAATGATGCAAGTGTGTTGGGCCAAATATCAGACCTATTGGTACTTTAAAAGAAAAGCTGAAGCATAATACAAAAAATATTCTAATCACTCCATCTCATTTTAAAAATAGCTAAACTATTTGTAAAGTAGATTTTTTTCTGGACTGTTTTGTGTGTTTTAGACAGGTATGATCTCCCTCACAAAACTGTCCCAGGAACAGCCCAGCAAGAGAAAGTGCTTTTCTCCCAGCCTCCTTAACTGATGTCACATGAGGGGAGGCCACATTAGGCTATGAGAACTTGCACAATGAACACGCTCCAAAGTGACACTCAGCCCCTGCAATTTGTTTCACATCTTCTTTATGGAGGACTAGCCCTACGCCATGTTTAATGCATTTTTGTTCAGCCATAGTTGCATTATCGCAGATCCCTGCAGAAAGTAATTTTTCTTTGAAGCAGAGTTGTCTCTTTCCCCACAAACCTACTACAGTGCCCAACTCTTCTATAACTCAAATACAATGGAAGGGATTTTCCTCAAATTTGCGCTCTTTTTGCCTATTAAGTCTGGAAAGTTCAGCCCCAAATAGGAAAACTTTTTAGAAAATTAAGAGTAAGTCGTTATGATGGGATGCTACAGATTTCCTTAATTTTAGTGTTCGCTGTTGCAAAATATTGTAGTGAAGCAATATGCATAAAAACAAATGCTGAATCATGTCTCTTCTTGCCTTTGCCTTATCACTTAATTTCCACTCACCTTCACTCCTTCCATTTTCTCTCCCTTTTGGTCTTTTCTTCTTTTGTGAAAAACTTCTAGTCTTTTACAGCTCAGTACATAGTGTCCTTCCCTTTCCCCCTCCCCAAGCAAACAGAAAATATCTTTTTGTTATTCTGTTCCCTCCCATGGTTAATGTCCTAATCATACTTATTCTTGATGACAAATCACAATGATCCTAATCCCAGGGGGAGTTAAGTGTTTCTTCTCAGAGCCTCCAATCATGCTCAAAACCAGATCACTGTGTTCTGTATACATAACATCACAGAGATTCCTCAGAGTGCCCAACAAATCCAGTTCCTCTATTTGCATTTAACACATACAAAAAAGTCTGGGGATTGTGTCATGGAATACTGGTATTATCTAGCAGAGCTCTAGCACTCCCCAAGAGTTGTGTAACTCAGGGGCTGGCCCTGAACTATACTTTACAAATTTGCCAGAAAATCTAGATCAAGAGCAGAAGCCAAAGTTACATCTGTGTACAAGTGCAATTGCTTATTAAACAACAGTTTCACAAATCATCTGGAAGCTGAATTGTGTCTAGGTGTTTCCTAGTGATGGAGAAATGTGAAACCTTTTTGTTTTTTTAAAAGCATTTGTTTGGGAGGATAGTGATTAAATTGACAGCATATCAAATTGTGCCCTTAGAAAAGGAACAGCCAGCATGCAAGCTTGGGTTATTTACTTCCACATAAAAAAATAAACTTATTCATGCTACATGTGAGTGAATTTGAACTCTGGTAAAGTCATGTGGATGTCTTAGATGCACATCTGCAGCTAAACAATTAAAAATCTATCTTGCTTAAAAATGTGCAAAATAATATTTATGCAGCAAAGCCTGCATAGGGAGCTCCCCATTGCCCAGCTAGGTGCACAACTCAATTTGCATAATGTAGACTTCATCTCAGTATGAAACTGCATTGAAACAGCTGGCAAATTACTACCACAAAGGAGCAGGCTGTCTTTTGGAATACATACTCATCTGGCCCTGAAATCGAGTACCCACTAACACTTTAAAGTGAACTACAAAGCAAAAAGTAAAAAAGGAGTGGACTTCTGTGCTGAATGATCCAGCTAACCAGGTTGTGGGAGTAGGGTTGCCAACTTTCTAATGGCACAAAACCAAACACCCCTGCCCCACCCCACCCCTTCCCGAGGCCCTTTCCCCACTTGCTCCATCCCCCCTCCCTCCATCGCTCGCTCTCCAACACCCCCCCCCCCCCACCCCTTTTCCCCCCCCCCCCCAACACACCCAACCCCCCCCCCCCCCACTGAGCTATCCTCTCCCCTATCTTCACTCACTTTCACCAGGCTGGGGCAGGGGGGGTCAGGTGCAGAAGCGGGGTGAGGGCTCTGGGTGGGGATACAGACTTTGGGGTGGGGCCAGGGATGAGGAGTTCAGGGTACAGGATGGGGCTCAGGGCTGGGGCAGGGTGTTGCCGTGTGTGGGCTCCAGGAGGGACTTTGGGTGTGGGAGTGGAAGCAGGGTCCCAGCAGCACTTACCACGGCTCCCAGGAAGCAGTCGCCAGGTCCCTGCAGCCCCTAGGCACATGGGAGGCTCAGCACGCTGCCCCCGCAGCGCTCATTGGTCATGGTTCCCCAGTGCTGACCAGAGCCGCTAGCATCCCTTTTCAACTGGGCGTTCAGGTTGAAAATCAGATGCCTGGCAACCCTGTGTGGGAGGCTTTCAGTACACAATAAGCTTGAGCTTCATATCCCTCACCCTTGAGTAATCCTGTCTTACCTTCAGTGAACTAAGAAGTTATCCCAGAATGCACCATTCCATGGCATTAAAAGGGCATGGATTGCAATGAGAATTCTGGTATGTTTGCAATTGCAAAACTGTATTCTGGAAGATCTTCCAGTAACCAGTACCAAGAGGATTTCACTGACAGGAGAAAAGCTACTCTCTCCTATTCTCTTCACTCTTGATTTCAGAAAGGAGGTGTCAAAAACAATCACTAATGTGGTTATGAAAATATCACTTCTATGCAGACACTACCCAAATTCACCACTGCTCTCTCTCCTCACTTTTTGCCTGTTTCAGCCTTAACTTCTGTTAACTCGTTTAAAAAAAATTAATACCTTAAAAATGACAAGCACTTCATTAAATAGAGGGAGGTGAAGTGACATTTAAATCCAACACTTCACTCTCCAGTTAGGAACCTACTCATTCAACTTGACCCCAGATTATCTCCCAGTTTTGAAAATTTGCCGATATAACTTCTGAAATAACAATCTTTGTACTCCACACAATGAACACTTAGTTACCGAAACTCTTATTAATGTATTCAGTTCACCTAGACTAATGCAATTGCTTCCTTTATAGTCTTCAGGTCTCAACTCAAACTTCTATTTGTCCAAAATGCAGTAGTTCATCTGCTCCCCTATATCCAAGAATGAAAGTAGCCACTGCAAAATTTTTTATTTACTGCTTTTATTGGATGGTTCAGTACCATGTACTCTCTCATTTTGCCTGAATAGCATAGGGGTGTGAAAACCACATATTGAAGGTTCCACAATAAATCAGCACTTCAATTTTGGATTCTAGCCCAAAACTATGACTTATGATACTCCATCCTATTTTCAAAAGTCACTTGGCAGCCTAAGTCTCTTGCAAGTGAATGCACTTAGACTCTTAAGTGACTTTTGAAAATAAGATGGAGACTCCTAAGTCACAGACTTCTTTGAAAAATTTTCTTGCCTTACCTATGAAAGTCACCTAGTTTGCCAAAGTATGTGTTTATAATTATCTACGTATTATATTGTATAATTTGCCAGAGTACTTCATTTTATTTAGATATGGTTCTTACTTGGTATGGAAGGAGTTGGGAGGTTTCAATGAAGAGTCAATGGTTCCACTTGGGCTGTATGCAGGGCAGCTGGCATTAAACTGGGCATGGACTCCCATATTCTTTGGAGCTCACAAAATAGGATGGGTAAGTGTAAAGTAATATTGACATTTAAAGTCTCATCGTATCCTTACATAGTCAGTTACAAGGTACCGACTTTGGAATTTTTTATTCTGAAAATGAACTTTGGTACATATAGAAAGTAACAATTGGCTTAAGTAGCAGATTTTTTAAATTCCCTTGTTACTCATATGGTCATACGAGATTATGCATAATTTATCTACAATGTCATTACATTATTAGCTCTCAATTGTGTGTTTTTCCAACCCTTTGTTAACAGAAGTTATAATTCATGTGACTAAAGTAAATACAGCTATGCCAAGGTAAAGTTCCTAGGGGTCCTTTAGACAAGTTCTTGTGAAAATTCATTTACTATGAGATGACTCGTAATTCAGTGTCAATTTTAGATAGTACTAATTATTCTCTGCTGTCCGGGCGGTGGAAGGGGAAGCTAGTCTCTGACATAAACCACCCTATGAACTACTTGGCTGGTCCTTTTACTACACAGCTCTCTTAGATACTTACATGACCCCATTACCATAATAATGGAGTGCCTTGGAGCCTTTAATGTATTTATCTGCACAGTGCCCCTGTGAGGTCGGGAAGCACTATTATCCCCATTTTACGATGGGGAAATGGGAACACTAACGTGTGTAAGGTCACACAAGAAATCTGCAGCACAGCAGGGATTTGAAGCAGTCTCCTAAATTGCAGGAGACCACCCTATCCACCATCCCTGAAATACTGAAGTAAAGAAATTCAAACACAAAACTTAATTTTTGGAATTTTTGGAGTTATTAATTTAGCATTATTGATGTGAATGCTATGAATTTAAAACATGACATTTCAGGCTGCATGTTGCATTAATTTTAGCTTTTTGCATTTATTCTGTATTTGTATGAAAATGTCTCCAAAGCCAGTTCAGTCCTGTTAAGAGCAAATGATTCCTTTTCCAAACTGATCACCCCACTCTGCACACATTCATGTATCAGCAAGAAGCATTCTAAGTTTTTTTAAGCATGTACTTTCCACTGTGTTTCAGAACTCTTTATAAAAAAGTTTAGTCTGAATTTGTGCAAATATCTACGTACTGTCTTAACAAAAATGCAGCATGTAAAATAACACTAACCACCTTATTTTGTTTCAGGGGTTGGTCAATCTCCTACTCACTAGTGGTGCAGCAACAGCTACAACTGTCACCTGGTACCATGTCAACAAGAGAGCAGCATATTTGATGTTCCCTTATTTAGCTTGGTTAACTTTGGCTTCTGTGCTCAATTACCGCATCTGGAAGGACAATAAAAACAAGAAGCAATCTTAATACAGAATCTTCTGGTAGAAGGTGTCAAGGCGGAAGATTTTTTTATGCATTTCCCAAATAAAATTACAATCCTGTTTTACTATTGCTTGAAGTACTTACTGTATTAGACAGTTAAAAATAGGTCTCGTCTAAATACAGTCAAAGTGGTGTTCATGTCAACATTCAAATGCTGGCTTACTACACAATCCGAATGGAATGTGTGCATGAGTGAATTTAATAGCACAGTCAATGAAGTGGTTTAATCTGCACCCTCTCCTATTGCCCCTGCTGTTGATTACATATAAAAAATAATTTAATGGATAGCATTTTTAACTATTACTGGCAATTAATGTGAATTGGGGGCTGATTATGTCCAGAAATGAAAGTCCATTAATGACTTTCAGACTATTGTTCCTCACATTAATTTACTCAGCATGTGCCTGATCCTTCAGCCTTATACCACTTGGCATAGTGCTTATTCCTGTCAGCTGTTGTACTGACTTCAGTGTCTTGTCTTCAAAGCACTGTGCCTAGAAATGTTTACGATTAGGCCTTATATGGAGGAAGAATTCCCATACTTGTGCATATAAACTTCGAGAGCATAGTATAATTTGCAGCCTGGACCATTATAGTTGAGAGGTAGGGGAAGGTTTCAAACATATTAAACAATAAGGAACTTACTAGTCTTACACCATGTTTTTTTTTTTTTAAAAGGGCTAAAGCCAAAAGGATTCTGCAACTAGAAGAAAGCTGCCTCCCCTCCCCATTTCCTTGCCACTGCAACTAGTGTAATTTACTTGGCTAAAAAAATAGACAACAGCAAATCCAAAGCACACAGTCAGGAACTGATGACAGCGCCCAAAGAGTATATCCAACGAGCACCTGAAGGGGGGGGAAAAAAATCACAGAAAGATGAATTAGTGCCTTTAACTTGTTCTGCTTGGAACCTGGATGCTTCACTAGCAGACTGCTAGTATTCTCGTCTACTAGCAGAGCAAGCTGCCTCCCCTGGAGGGATGTCTGGCTGCTGGTGCCCCTTTAGCTGCTTGGAGACAGGTACAAGATGTTTCTGCTGCTTCAAGATTAGTGTTGCAGTCTTAGACCAGAAGGCACAGAGTTGTAAATGGCTGAACTAGAAACAGGAACTTTTTGTACAAGGTACCTGGGACAGGAAGTTTTACCTTTCCTCTACTGCTAGCACATTACTACTACTTTTATGACCATGCTTCCCAGTTCCCACTTACACTATTAGGATTTAAACCTTCCTCTTTTAACCTGCCCCAGATCCACAGCAATTTCCAGCAGTGACTAATTTTCACTTGCCCTGAAATTGCCTCTCTCCTTTACTGCCATGTTTCCTAGGTATATCAAGTAACTTTAAACTAAGCTTCTCAGAAATCAGAACTATTATATGGTAGTGCTTGGCAGACAGTTCTTCAGATTGAACATTAGGAAGATCTGCTTTATAAAAAAAAAAAGTTCTATGGCATAATCAACCCTTTTCTACATGAAGACTGAAAGATAACTGGTGATATTGCTTGCTTCCTTGATATCAGTGCAAGGCTAGAAGCTATCTATGATTGCTGCAGATTAAGATGGTTTAAAATGGTATCTTTGTACACTTTGCTTAAAATCTGCAATTGGTTAGTTTTTGTTACAATGTTTATCAAAAAAATAAAGCTTAACTAATATCACTTTTTAATGCTATAATACTTCAAGAAATAAATAATGCATGTATACAGTGTAAAACAGGGGTCTCAAACACACGGCCCGCGGGGTTATTTCCTGCGGCCCACCAAGCTCTTCGCACCCCCGGAGTTATTTCCTGTGGCCTGCCAGGCTCCCCTCCTCCCAGTACACCGAGTCCCCGCTCCTCTGCCTACCTGCAGGCCCTTCCCGCTGCCAAACAGCTGTTTGGCAGCGCTTAGCACTTTTCAGGAGGGGTGAAGTGGGGGCGGGGCCGGGGGCAGGGTCAGTGATGCTGCCCTCGGGCCAACGTACTAGTCCTCATGTTGCCCTTGTGGTGATTCGAGTTTGAGATCCGTGATGCAAAACATCCCCAAGGTTTAGCATAAGATGTTGGAGTTTGTTAGGAGACACTTATATCATCTAGGCTGAAGGTCATTAAATTTCACCCAGTTACCTCCATAGTGAGCCCAATAGCTTGTTTGAGAAAAGTGTAACTTGTGTTTGGCTAAAGCAGAATACTAATGTGAACTAACTGTTCCTCAGCACACACAAACAGTTTAATTTGGCCAGTACTACTTAGGAAGGGGCAAAATTCTGAGCCATAACTCTTGATACAGACATTGCTAAAGATTAAAAGGATACTGTGTTCTTGCATTGTTTACTTAAAATAAAATACTGTTCCAGGTCTTTTCAGACCTTTGGCAATTGTAATGGCCCTTAACCCACCCCTCTGAAGTCCCAATTAGCTCATTATAGTGCAGTTCTTCATTAATTATTCATTTTGGTATCTGAGATCAAATCCTTAGATAGGCAAGACTCCCATTGACCTCAATGAGAATTTTGCCAGATGATATTCAATCTTAATTGCTGTGGCAAAGGAATGAATTGTTTGATATGTGACAGAGAAGCTACAGTTTCCATCTAATTTCAGCATTACCATGCATGCTAAACAGCCCAAAACTACTAGATTGGAATATATTCATAGACCTCATTCAACTTTAAAAAGATGACAGCAGCTCTGACTAGTTTTTGAGAAAGTATAGTGACCTTTCATTGAAAAAAAACTAACTCTCATGTTGCTGCAATACTTTATTACAAACAGGCTTCATAAATGTTCGCTCACTGGAGTTATCAGATGCAACCCTAAAGTAAGATAATTCACATCAATTTGGGGAATAAAGCATTTTAGTGCTTGGAAGATAATGGTATTCCACAGAGAGGAAGAGATGATGTATGACCTCAGACATTTTGATACAGGAAATTATTTTTCTAATGCAGACACAGAAAACGTGTACAACACTTCCTGCTATGCAAATTAGGTATACTAGGCTACCTAAGAAACAACAGCTGATTGCTCCAGTTACTATTATACTTTTCTGGGCTTTAATAAGACATTTAAGTCAACACAAGTTGATGATTAGAACTAAACAAGACAAGAAAACACAGACTACTGATTACAAGTGCAGTATATGCCCATTCAACTGATAAAAGTTTTCCTTCATTACCATTTTCGGAAAATAGTCGCATGAGCAGCTCATAGAACTGAGATATAAATATTGCTGTTAAGCATATCTGTAAAGGAAACAAATAACCAGGTCGAGCCTTCTAGGCCTAAACAACGTAGGTCACATGACAATTATTTGTTTCATCCAGAAATAGGGTGCTGAAGACATCATTAAAAAAGGTAGGGTGGTATTTGCAGGCTCTGTCACAGTCAGGGTTGAAGTTCACCTCCAGGACCTGAGGCTGCATAGTTCTTTTCCCTGAAAAAGAAAAGAAAACAAAACATTCCATTTTACTACCAGGTACACATGAGACGCTGGGAGCCACCTCCTTTTGCTGTAGTAGAGACCATAGAAAGAGGCTGAAGATGGTCAACTCTTACTACATACCCAGAGAGGGTTTTTTTGAGGCCTACAGTATGAGGTAGTGAGACACCAAACCCATTCCTGGGGCAAATGCCATAATCTGAGGCCTTGTCCATATGAGAAAAAGGGGCACTGGTTTAACTAGATCAGAATTAGTGCGTCTTTCTTATTTAACCACAACGTTGAGATGCACCTTCCAAAAAAGACTGCTTCCCCCTTTATTTTTAGGCAACAAGCCTCCTTTGCTCTTTGTATTGCTCTATTGTTCTCTCTAGTTCACCTGCTACAGAAACAGAGCTGGGTTCCTCAGCTGCAGCACAAAATCTCTCCCCTCCCACTTATGGATTCCGAAGTCAGAAGGGAACATTGTGATCAAGATTCTAGTCTGACCTCCTCTACAGCACAGGCCCCAGAACCTCCCCACTTAGCCCTCTACTTCCTCTCACCCCTAAAATAAGGTCAGGAGGTTGTGTTTCCCTTTTGAATTGCAATAATGTTTGAAGAGTAAGACAAAAAACGTAGATTCTCTTTCCTACCTGTATGATTATAGTGGAATTAAATCATGGGGTTTATAATAATTACTTTTAGTAGAGACTGCTCTCCTTGTATAGGTGTACCACCACCACCACCACAATAGGAAAGGGTGCTTGCGGTTAGAATTAACCGATTGCTGAAAAGCATTATGCCCACCTATCTTCAAATGTTTACATCAGCATAGCAGAAACAACGGCAGACGAGAGCCAATAAAAAGAATTAGACAGATGCACGGCAGTATCTCCAACATTATTACTACTAACAAGGAGACTGGATTCCACCCTCGCACATATACAACCCCACAGACATCAAAACAGTCTGTTTCAGTATAAACATCATGGAGCCCGCCCTACCTTTTTTTTTTTTTTTTTTTTTTTTAACAGCAAAAACTTTGAGCAAAAAAACCAAATTTAAAAAACAGAGAGAGAATAAATTCAATCTTACCATCTCTGGTAGTATCCCACTTAAGCATCAGGTCAATGGCATATACTGCTCGCGATGATGGATAATCACAGATGCCAAATGGTGCAGGTTTAGCTGAAGCAGCTTGGAATAATTCAGCAAATGCCTTAAAAATCTCTGCCTATTGTCAAAGAGAAGTCAGTTTCTGAATAAAATGCAAATAGTTGCGAGAACCCCATAAAAGTGATTTTTGTAGGTGAAAGTTTCATTTATGAGTCATCTCAAACTGTAAATGTCATCACAAATGACAAGCCTGCAGACAACAAGAACCTTCAGACTTTCAAAAAAAGGGGTCAAGTTTCTTCAGGAATAATTTAATATTTGTTCCCTCACACCCACCCACATCCATGATTTTCAAAAATAGGGGCCTGAAATTAAGCTTCTAGATTTATATTTTAATGTACCTAATAACTGGTCTGATTTTTTTAAGTGCTGAGCACCCAGAATTTATCTCATTACTATATACTACAGAAAACCCTACAAATAAAAGTATTATAATGCTGGAATGGAATCCATGTCTATGTCATTTTGTACAGCACTATACTTC